ACTATTCTTTTACGATGAAATCCGTCCCACGAAAAACCAAGAATTCTTAGTACAACGAGTATTGATCAAGTACCCTTCTAATGAGACCTCAAGAAATTTAACAGGTGCAAACAACATCCCAAAAGTCCAGTCCCATACCCAGTTAGTCACATAAGCATGTTGTTATATAATCATAAAATGCATAACACTTCCTAAGCATGCTAAATGAACCCACTGAGGTTAAACAACCATTTCCTATGAGCTCCAAGTATTCAAACCCGGTAGCTCTAATACCAAGTTGTAACGCCCCAAATTTCTAACCCAAATGATAATACAACAATCATTGTTCTTTCAAGGAAAACCGAATACAAATCTCCAAACTTACATTATATGATACAATAGTTCTTCATGCAACAATACATTAATCCAACAACAAGTAAATAAACAAATAAATACCCTCAAGGGTTTACAAGTTTCCAAGGCTTGAGCCTGCCTACACAAAACGGTTATTCAAACCCACACACATACAATCCTTGGCTTACACACAGAGTCACAGTAAAATGAGAGTCTCGTACTCTTAACACACATTTCCTCGCCTTTAGTTAGATGGTATCACCACATCTTTTCCTGCACAAAAATCCCGTAGGGTGAGCATAAAGCCCACTAGGAAATCCTTAACAAAGTATATACATTTTATATAAGTCTTAAGAGATGAAATGCACATGCCATGCTACGCCCTTTTGAAAGAAAATCACATCTTTATCTTTGAAAACCATCATGCTCAATGATGTCAGCGGTAAACACAACTCTGGTAATCCCTTAATTGGTGTCGGCAAGTAGACTATACAAGTACTACCAATTTGTCATTTTTACCGGTATTAACTGGAAGGCTCGACACCTATCCGCGCGGGTTTTCGGTCTTTCACCCTGGACTCTTAGGCCAACTTATTCAATATCATCTACACCACCTATCAAGACTTACTATCGTATTTACCCCACAACCATTCCATGAAAACTTGTTTCTCAACATTCTTTTCTCAATGCAAGTTTTCAAATCAACTTTCAAAGTTTAATGTAATCAAATGAATTGGTATGCCAATAACACAACATGAATGTAAATACTTTTATTCCAATTCATCATCTAAGGAATAACAAAATTCCCTCTTCTCAAGTATCCTCAACAATTAGTCATTTCAGTACTATTTCAACGTTTTGAACAATAATTTCCAAATAAACAACAATTCTCATATTTCCTGAAATTCATCATTTATATAAATATAAATAAGAAAATTTCTAAACATTCATTTATTTTGACACACAAAATAAATATAACAATATCATTCATGGATTTTTAGTCTCTTTTAAAAAAATCCCCAAATTCTAGGTTTTCTCACCAAAACTATACAACTCAAATCTTTTGAAAGAAAACTTTTCAAAATCATATTTTCTTCAATCAACGAAGATCAAAACCCATAAGATTATTTTAAAAGGACAAAAGACAAACTCACTTTCAAAATCGCTCAACTTCTTAAAACAACAATCAATTTTCAAAGCTATCGAAAGATGATTTCGAAAATCATCTAGATCTTGCAAAAATATATATATAACTCTAAGAAAATCCCTACCTCAAGTTTTGAAGAAGAAATGAGATGAAACCCCTAAAATCAACGGTGTCGAAACTCGATCTTCACCGCACACAACAAAGCCCTCGAGAAGTTAACCAACTTTGATGAAAACCTATTGCAGAACTCTAATGGATCTTGAGAAATCACGGTTTTGATCCAATTTGGCGTAGGGAAATGTAGAGAGAAGGGAGAGGAAATGTTTTTTTGAGAGAGATATATACAAAAGTGATCTGAAATATGATATTCACGAACTGATATAACATGGTCCGCTCGAGCGTGGAAAGCCCCACTCGAGCGTCGAATACACTTTCTCAGTACTTTTACAGAGAGGTCAAACTTCTGGAACCAAAATGTTCTTCGTTCGAGCACATAAACGGCCGCTCGAGCGGACAAACAATTTCGAATGCATTTTGCATTTTTTCTTCGGGGGCGCTGCCCCTTGACCCCACCAGGGCGTTGCCCTCGGACCCACCAAGGGGCGCTGCCCCCAGGACCCCCACGAGCTGACCGAGCAGCTCAATCCCCGACCTACCCAGTCGAAGTGGCAAAACATGAAAGAAGGGTCGAAACCGGGATCGCTACATAATTGATACTATATTATTGCCATGTTAGCCGTAATACAAAACATTGAGAAAAATGGCTAATATGTAGCATCCTTCTGGAAAATTTTGTGACCCCTAGAGTGTGCAACTTGGAAACTTGTCCAGAATAGAATTATTTAGTAAACTGTTTCTTCTTATTTATTTATTTATTATTATTATTATTGGCTGGAAAACCAAACTATAACAAAAAAAAAATGCAATGTTCAATCCTTTTAGGAATGTAAAAATGATCTGCGGCCCGAAGCCTGCCTACAGCCTGGAGTGGACCGAGCCAAGCCCGTTTAGGCCCAGAGCCTAAGCCCAGCTCGAGACCCTAGGCTTGGGCCTAGGCCATAATTTTGATGCCCGCCTCAGCCCATTGGCCCGCTGAAGGCCCATTTAAGGCCTCGGCCAGATGCCTAGCCCACTTGAGGCCCAGTGTCTTTTTTAATAGAAAATAATAAAATTTTGATTGAAAAAAATAAAAAATAAGAAAACAAAAAAAATTGTTCATGCCCGCCCAAGCTTGACCCAAGCCCAAGCCCGGGCCTAGGCCCATCAGCCCAGGCTAAGACCCGAATATCCCCTGGGCTTGGACGTGGGCCTAACGTTTTGACCTGTGAGCCGGCTCGAATTTTGGCGGGAGCCTGTGAGGCACTACATGGCCCGAACCGAGCCCAAACCCAAATGAACCGAATCAAACCAGGCCAGGCCAAATTTACACCCTTACTTTTAGCATCCTCATAACAATTGCACGGAGATGCATTTGAGAATTTCGAAGTCCTTCGTTTTTTACGCCTCACTCATTTATAACTAGATCCACACATTTGTCAGCTTCACAAATATGATTAATTGAGAGACTTTTTAAGTAGTGTATTAGCTTATCAGATACTTACAATCACAAATAAAATTATGGAGGAATTGTAAAAATAAATAAATAAATAAATTCTAGAGGCCCCTTGTAACAAAATAAAATTTTAATTTTATCAATTTAAATCTTAATCTTTTGGTTTATTTTCAATCTAAACTATCAACCTCTTTTTATTAAGTAAACTCGACCAAAAAATAAAATAAAATAAAATATTTTAGTCATTAAATTCAATATAAGGGTGTACATAAAATGTCTAAAATACATTTTTTATTAACTTTAATGACTAAAATATCATTTTCCCTTTATTTTATTTAACGAAAATAGATAGATGGCTTAGATTGAAATGAAATCAAAAGTTTAAGCTTTAAATTAACAAAATTAAAATCTTAGTGCTTGTTTTATTACAAAGGTCAAACTTTGGGGATTCTTTTTTTTTTTTCTTTTGTAATTTTTCGTCAAATTATAATGATTTTGGATTCTCTCATGTTGGTCATCTCAACTTGAGAGAGTGCTTGGCCCTGTCTTGGTGATCCAAACAGTCTATTTTCTAGTACTTGTTAAGTAAAATATTCATGTAAAAAATTAAGATGGTAACTATATATTTGAATCACATTTATACTTGCTAAAAATGATGTATTATTGATTGATATCTGATTGTTGTATTATTGATATTACAAGGATTCCTATTATATAGAAGAGGATTTGGGTAGTAGGTGAGGAGTAGGTGATGGTAAATTGGTGGTAGGTGTAGTAGGTGTGGTAGTAGGTGGTGGTAGGTGTAGGTAAATTTTAACAGCCCCCCGCAAAATCAAGGAGGATAGAAACTAACCAACTTGAGTTTGGAGAGAGGAACAAAACAAGAAAATACATAAAAATAAAAGAGGATAGGAGACACTGAATGGTCCTGTCAGACCGTTGGTGAAGACACTGTATGGGGTGTCATAACGTTGTAGAGGACACTGTATGGCGGTGTCATAACGTTGTAGAGGACACTGGATGGTGGTGTCATAACGTTGTAGAGGACACTGGATGGTGGTGTCATAACGTTGTAGAGGACACTGGATGGTGGTGTCATAACGTTGTAGAGGACACTGGATGGTGGTGTCATAACGTTGTAGAGGACACTGGATGGTGGTGTCATAACGTTGTAGAGGACACTGGATGGTGGTGTCATAACGTTGTAGAGGACACTGGATGGTGGTGTCATAACGTTGTAGAGGACACTGGATGGTGGTGTCATAACGTTGTAGAGGACACTGGATGGTGGTGTCATAACGTTGTAGAGGACACTGGATGGTGGTGTCATAACGTTGTAGAGGACACTGGATGGTGGTGTCATAACGTTGTAGAGGACACTGGATGGTGGTGTCATAACGTTGTAGAGGACACTGGATGGTGGTGTCATAACGTTGTAGAGGACACTGGATGGTGGTGTCATAACGTTGTAGAGGACACTGGATGGTGGTGTCATAACGTTGTAGAGGACACTGGATGGTGGTGTCATAACGTTGTAGAGGACACTGGATGGTGGTGTCATAACGTTGTAGAGGACACTGGATGGTGGTGTCATAACGTTGTAGAGGACACTGGATGGTGGTGTCATAACGTTGTAGAGGACACTGGATGGTGGTGTCATAACGTTGTAGAGGACACTGGATGGTGGTGTCATAACGTAATCACCTAAAATGAATGTGTTTTTTTTTTTTTTTTTCTTTTTTTTTTTTTTTTTTGGTGAAAATAATAATAATAATAATAAATAAAATGAAGTGTTGGAAGCCAGTGGAATCAATGAAGGCTAGTATAATATATTTGAGTGGGGAAAAGAATGATGGGTATGTTGATTATATAATAAAATAAAAGTGGGTAGTGGAGAAGATGAGTGTAAAGAAAAGTTGAGTGAGAATAGTGTGTTTGGGATTTGTTTGTAGCCACGTCTTTGGCAGATCAAACACTTTGGGAAAAGTTTAAAGAAAAGTTTAAAATATGAGGAGAGAGTGGGGACAAGCCCATGTGAGTGAAAGATGGGTTTAAAGAAAGTGAGGGAGTGGGTTGATTAAAAAAAGGATTGTGGGTTTGAAAGTGGAAAGATGAAACAGATGTGTCCCCAATTGCAGGCCGTGATTCAAGGACATTGCCTTCATTACCAAACATGTACGAGGAATTGCCTGCATAACCAGCTTCTGATTTGATCATCACCCCATTCATTCCTTGTATCATTCCCGCAGTTGAGCTCTGAGCCAAAAAAATGTTTGGTGAAACATCAATCCTTCTGGCATGAGCAGACATATCAACAGCATTTTGCATGCATGGGTCTAGTGATGATGACCCACCATTGGGAAAAGAGTTGGGGAAACTTGAATTGATAGGTTGGTGCATGTTCTCCACCTTCAGAGGCGGTCCGACATGTTCTGGAGCATAGTAGGCTGAGTTCTGGTGCAATGGTGGGACATGAGATCCATTAGACATAGGTATGGAAGCAACTCCAGGTGGGCACATCTGATCCATCAGCTCAATTTGTTTCTGAAGTAACCTGTTGAATTGCATTATTTGGTCCTTCACCATCAATCTTAAATAATATCCCTTGAAAAAGTCCCGATTTTCGTCTTCAAGCTTTTGCCAAACAAGTTCAGTAAAATCAGGTTCTATTTTTGCCTGAACCAAGAGAGTATCCACGACTTCTTTTTGGCTCATGTAAAGTTGTAGGCATCGCTCTATAAGATTTTGCACCAGTTGTATGTCTTCCCGTGAGACCTTTCTGACCTCTCCACTAGACATGTTCCCATCGGATGATCAAATTGGCATGATGGCGAGATTGAGGAGTTTGGCGAGGTTCGAAGGTGGGAGAGAAGAGCATGGAAACGAGGGGGATGAAGTACATGCAGAGTGATCAAGGTATGTGTAGAAAATTCAAACGGAATAGGTTGAGGTCCGGCGGGCGGCCAAGGCGAGGGTGCCGCCCGCCGGGGAAGCGAAAAATACGAACTGCTTAACCTTGCTCTGATACCATGCTAAAAATGATGTATTATTGATTGATATCTGATTGTTGTATTATTGATATTACAAGGATTCCTATTATATAGAAGAGGATTTGGGTAGTAGGTGAGGGTAAATTGGTGGTAGGTGTAGTAGGTGTGGTAGTAGGTGGTGGTAGGTGTAGGTAAATTTTAACAATACTTATAAAAAAATGGATAATTACTCTTGAAATTATAATTATTTTCTATTTTTTGAAAAATAAATGTGATTGAAACATAGGTGTGCAACTTGGAAACATGTTCAAAATAATCTGTTTAGTTTGGAGTTTTTAAAAATAATTTTTTGAATTTTCAATTTGTATATATTTTTGTATTTAGTATATTTTTTTAACATTTTAATCGTTTTTTTTAAAACTCTTTTGATCCACTAAATCTAAATACACTTAAATAGTACAAAATTTATACAAAAAAATTTAAAAATTAATAGAATACAACAAAATACGAAAATGTATTGAATTCTAATATTTTTTTGTATTCAATAAATTTTTGAAAGATTTGTGCACAACTTTCATACTTTTTAAAAGGGGAAAATTAATATTAGTGAAACATCCCTTTCAACTTTGAATAATAGGAGAGGTACAATGTGTTTTTTTATTAGTTAAAGTTCCTAGATGAAATTTATCTATGATCGTACCAGAGAAATTTTAAATTTCTCTGTGAAAATTGAAATTTCTCTATGTTGGGATAAAATTTCTCTATATCGATTTTTTTATTTTATTTTATTGAAAATGTTGAGTGATCCCAACTACTATAAAAATATTATATATTATTTATTTTATAAAATCTTAATATCAGAGAACTTAAAAAAAATTCTCCTTTTAAAAGTATCTAGATTAAGTAAATCTAAAAATTTTAAAATAAATAAATAAATAAATAAATCATTAAAAATAAATAAAAAATACGAACTTAAAATTTATATAAAATTATTTTTAAAAATTCCAAATTAAATGGTTAATTAGAAAGCAACTAGATTAGATTATAACAAAAAGTACGATATTCAATCCCTCTAACATCCTCATATCAAATATTCGAAGACAAAAGACAAATCAAGTAATTTGATTCATTCGTACACTCGATAGATTATTAGAAAGTTACCATTAAGTTAGTATAACCGGCCATTCGACACTTTTTTCATAAGCAACCTTTTCCCAAAACCTAGGTATGACCACCCAAACTATGGTCAAATTAAGTCATTGGTTAATTACAAGATCTTATATTTGATTTCAGGACAATTTAAACCAAGACAAAATCATCTGTTGGAAACGGTTTTCCAAGCCCAAAGCTTTTGACAAACATAGTGGCCTTTCGCAGCACCTAAATTACGAAGTGTGATTGTATTTTTCATGATTTAGAGTTGTTTCTTATCTATATAAACAGAGGTAATTCAACTATTTGTCTACTTAATCCATCACCTAAGGTTTCTAATTTTTTTTTTTTTTAATTCTTATTATTGAAAGTTTTAATTTTTTCAAAGACTTAATAAGATAAAATCTCGTTTTAATATTTAAGAACTCACAAAATCTTAAGCTTAAGCTGCTACTATATATAAATTATTTGAATGAATCAATAAGATATTTGGATATGTGGACATAGGCATGATGCACTAAACCATGTAAACGTGTTCTTTTATTTCTAAATCAATTTCTTGTTTATTTTATTTTCTTTACAAAACTGAACATAATTTCTTCTTAACATAATTTGCTAAAGAGGGAGAGTATTTGAGGTCATTACTCCACTCTACCCTACCTTGGCAAAGACACCATTCCATTCGGAGGTTTTAATTTGGACTGGAGACTGATTTTGGACCACCTAACATATATGTCCATTTGGAGGTCCATTATAACTTTTTATTTCTTATTTGGACAACTTTTTATATCTCCTCAAAATGAAAGCAATTACCATAACAAATTTTGGTGGAGAGAGAGAGTGGGAGTTGGACTTGTTGAATATGTCATAGAACCTTATTATTAATGACTAAGAGTGAATCTTAAGGATTGGTTTTGTGGGTACGATTGGTTTGGTGTCATCAAATTTCAAGTTTAGTATTCACTAATTGTAATAAGTGTCTTAAGGCCAGTAGTGAAAATATTGATTCGGATACCCAGTTATTAATAATTAAAATATATATATATATATATATATATCACTAAGAGTGAAGAAATTTATGAATTTAGACTTAGATCTTCATTTTGTAGGCACACAGAAAAAAAAACAAGCCTTTATGATTTTGATTTTGACTTGTCATAAGAAGCGTGAGTGAAGAAATTTATGTACTTAGACTTAGATCTTCATTTTGTAGCCACACATAGAAAAAAACAAGCCTTTATGATTTTGATTTTGATTTGTCATAAGAAGCGTAACTAAAAAATACTATATTTTAGTCCACAATTGCCTACCATATTTCTAACATGAGTAATGTTGCTCAAACTTTAGAATGAAAACGAATAATTTGGTCGGCCATCATTAATCCTTTTGTAGGGTTCACAAAATTAAGGTCAATCACAACTCATTATATGGATGAGAAAATTGTACAATAGTTTTGGAGTATCACGTAATTATATTTTCTTACCAATCTTCATTTATTATGATTTCACATATTCTTCAATCATTTAACATAAATAATTAATCCTCAATCATTTAACATAAATAATTAATCCTCAATTTGCTCAAATTCCACCATTTCCACCATGGTTATCTCATTAACAACAACCTCCCAATATGCATAAACATGAAATTTTCTAAAACGTAATGGCAACTCTCAACAACCTTATGCTTAAAACAACAACGCACATATCAACATATGGTTGACAACTTTAAATACGTTTCCCTCAGCACTAGGGAATATTACAAAGAAAAGCAACTTAAACATTTTCAAACAAATCCGGATATTTGGAGCGGACTTCAGCCTCCCGTTCCCACGTCGCTTCTTCAACCCCATGGTCTCTCCACAACACATTTACCAACGGTATAGTTTTGTCCCATAGCACTTGCTCCCGGGCATCTAATATTTGAAACGGTTGTTCTTCGTAAGAGGCATCCTCATCTACCTCCAAGTCAACCCAATCAAGAACATGAGAAGGGTCGTGTTCATACTTCCTAAGCATAGATACATGAATACGTTGTGAACTCCCGAAAGTTGTGGCGGTAAAACTAACTGGTATGCCACTTCCCCAATTCGCTCTACGATCTCAAAAGGCCCAATGAACCTTAGAGATAATTTACCACTCTTACCAAATCTCATCAAACCCCGCCTTGGTGACATTTTTAGAAACACATGGTCACCAACTTCAAAAGATAAAGGTCGTCTCCTCTTATCGGCATAACTCTTTTGTCGGCTTTGAGCCGCAGCTAACCTCTTCCGAATGAGAACAACTTTCTCGGTTGTCTCTCTAACAATTTCTGGACTCAGTAACAGTGCATCACCCACTTTGGCCCAACAAACCGGTGATCTACAAGGTCGCCATACAAGGCCTCAAATGGTGCCATTCCAATACTAGCTTGGTAACTATTGTTGTAAGCAAACTCAATCAATGGTAAGTACCTTTCCCAAGGCCCCTCAAAATCAAGGACACAAGCTCTAAGCATGTCTTCCAAAATCTGAATGGTACGTTCCGACTGTCCATCGATTTGAGGATGATAAGCAGTGCTAAGAGTCAACTTAGTTTCCAACGTCTCTTGAAGGCTTTGCCATAATCGGGCAGTAAAACGAGGATCCTTATCCAACACAATAGTCACAGGGACTCCAAGAAATCGAACTATCTCTCTAATGCACAACTCTGCTAAGCGTGCAACTGAGTCGCTGGTGCACATCGAAATGAAATGTGTAGACTTAGTCAACCTATCAACAATCACCTAAACGGCATCATTGCCGCGTTGTGTTCCAGCAAGTCCAATTACAAAATCCATGGTAACACGCTCCGATTTCCACTCGGCTATCGATAAGGGTTGTAACAAACCCGCTAGTCTTTGGTGTTCGGCCTTCACTTGTTGACAAGTAAGACCCTTTGATACAAATAAAGCGACATCTCGTTTCATACCCCTCCACCAAAACTGATGACTACGATCATGGCACATTTTAGTGCCTCCCGGGTGTACCGCAAGGCGTGAATGATGGAACTCCCGAAGTACTTCCTCTCTACAAGATTCTGGTACAAACAAACGGTCTAGGTAACGTACACTCAGATCTAAGTGAACGTTCAAACCTTTCTCTTCCTTCCCATTGGAAATCTTAACGCGGATTGATTCCACATCACGGTCTCCTCATTGTGCCTCTATAACCTTACTAACCAAGGTAGGTTGAGCATTCAAATTGAACAAGATAGCACTCTCTTTGGACTCACCCAAGTGCGAATCAAACTTGCCAATAACATCTAGCATATCCCATTCCCGAATGGCCACACTTGCAAAACTACTCATAGATTTTTGACTCAAAGCATTGGCCACCACATTGGCCTTACCTGGATGATAGTGTAACTAAAAGTCATAATCCTCCATAAATTTCATCCACCTCCGTTGTCGTAAATTCAAGTCTTTTTGAGAAAATAAATACTTTAAACTCTTATGATCGGAGAAAACCTAAAACTTCTCACCATACAAGTAATGCCTCCAAATTTTCAAAGCAAAAATCACCGCTGCTAATTATAGATCACGGGTGGGGTAATTTTTCTCATGAGTTTTCAATTATCGTGAACCGTAGGCCACAACTTTTCCCTCTTGCATCAAGACATAACCAAGTCCATCCCCGGACGCATCATAATAGACAGTGTAATTCAAACCCCTTTTCGGAATTATCAAAACTAGTGCGGTAGTCAATCTAGTCTTATGCTCTTGGAATGACTTTTCACACGCCTTACTCCACACAAATTTGATACCCTTTCTCGTCAACCTAGTCAAAGGTGCAGCTAGTCTAGAGAAGTTCTTTACAAAACGTCGATAATACCCCGCTAATCACAAGAAACTCCGGATTTCAAAAACAATCTTGGGTTGTTCCCAATCCTGTACGACATCTATCTTTGAGGAGTCCACAATCACTCCCTCTTTAGACACTACATGCCCCAAAAAATTCACCTCTGTTAACCAAACACATGTATTTTTCAAATTTGGCATACAATTGGTGCTCACTAAGTAAACCCAGCACTACCCACAAGTGAGTCTCGTGTTCCTCTTCAGAGGTTGAATAAATCAAGATGTCGTCCACAAAGACGACCACAAAACGATCCAAGTATTCCTGAAAAATTCTATTCATCAAATCCATAAAGGAAGCCGGTGCATTGGTCAACCCAAAAGGCATTGTAAGGAATTCATAGTGGCCATAACGAGTACGAAAGGCCGTCTTCTGAATGTCCTCCTCCCAGACTCTCAACTGATGGTACCTCGACCTCAAATCTATTTGTGAGAAGCAACAAGACCCTTTAAGTTGGTCAAACAAATCATTTATTCTGAGTAGAGGATACTTGTTCTTAACTGTAACTCTATTCAACTTGCGGTAATCAATACACAACCGCAATGACCCATCATTCTTCTTCGCAAAGAGAGCTGGCACTCCCCAAGGCAATGTACTAGGGCGAATGAAGCCCTTGTCTAAAAGTTATTGGAGTTGAATCTTCAACTCATGCAATTTGGCAGGTGCAAATCTATACAGTGACATGGAAATCGGTGTCGTGCCAGGCACTTATTCAACGGAGAACTCGATCTCCCGGTGAGGTGGTAAACTAGTAAGATCTTCTGGAAAGACATCTGGGTATTTACAAACTACCCTTGGTAACTCAACACGAGCCCCGTCATTACCAAGAGCCCCATCACTCTTAATATCCAATAGAGTTGCAAGAAGGCCACTAAGCTTGCTCCTACTATGAGGGTCAACATCTGGCGACAAGGCTCTATCAACTCGGTTCCCCAGAAAATAGAAATGATCACCACCCGAAGTGCACACCGTAACTCTCTAACGATAACAATCAATCACAGCTTGATAAGAACACAACCAGTCCATGCCTAAAATGACATCAAAACTCGACTTATCTAGCAACACAAAAGCAAACGAAAGTCGACGCCCGGCAACTTCTATTTCACAATCACAACAACCTCGGTCTAATTCAACTGTACCCCCAATAGGTGACTCTACTTTGAGTGGAGACACTAACCGTGCTACCTCTAACCGCAATGTAGAAGCAAATGCAGTAAATATAAATGAATGAGACGTACCCGTGTCTATTAATACATTAGCCAAAGAATTACACACAACAAAAATACCTCTCACAACTGAGGATTCTGGCAACTGCTCTAGCACGGTAAAAGCATACACACGCCCCTATGGCCCTTGATTAACTTGCTCATTTCTCGAAGCATAAGCCTGTTGTACTGACTTAGCCGAAATGGCTCCCTAATTAACTCGCCAAGCTTGGACTGATTGAGCCTGTTGGTGGCTCTGAGTCTACCTTGACCCTGATGCGCCTCCCAACTGTGGGCAAGTTCTCTTCATATGCCCCGACTGACCACACTCATAACAATTAAACCCTTGACCTTTATTATGAGACTGAGACTGACTTTGAGATCGGTTAGGTGGTGGTAACATTAACTGCCCTCCTCCCTTCTGTGGGCATGAGAAGGCTTTGTGACTTGGTTGGCCACACTTGAAACACGAGAAGCTACTCGATACACTTTTTTTCGGACCCGCACACTGCAAAGAAAAAGTGGATTTAGACTGCTGTGGTTGGGACTGGGATGGATAGGTGTTCCTGCTCTTCTTGTTTTGCCTGTAGTCTCCTTGAGACTCTTGGCCCCTAGACCTTGAACTCTGAAGCCTCTCCTCCTCGGCTTGTAGGCTACGTGTGTCGCCGTCTCCACAAAACGGTCATATTCTCGAATCATATTTTTGATAAGCTTGAATATAATTTTTGTTTTCAATTTCTTTCCAAACTCAATGCAACAGCGCTCTTCTGTTGCCACTAACTCTGGTGCAAATCTGGACAAACTAGAGAAGACCGCCTCAAACTCGGCCACGAGCATGTCGAGTTGTTTGAGGTCTTTAAACTCTTGCCTCAATCTCTCCCTAGCAGTGGGAGGTATGTACTTATCTTGGAAAGAAACCGCAAAGGCTTTTCATGTCGGCTCCACTCTACCCTTGGCATATTTCCACTATTGACCCGCGTCTCCCTTGAGGTAGTAACTCGCCAGAATCACTCTTAGTTCACTATCTTCGATGGAACTCATCCAGGCCACCATGGAACTCATTCGGTTTGGCCCGCAAGAACTCTCTAGTAAGAAAACTCGCCCTTGACTCCGCGGTGTTCTCTCGGGTTTCATTCCCCACCCTTAACAAGTTCATATACTCTCTTAAAGCCCCTGCCATTTCTCGAGCTAGGGCTCCCATTGCGGTTTGACCCACTTGTCCCACCTGCTGGCCACATTAGGTTGGCCTGCTTGCTCGGCCATATTAGCTTGGCCGAACCCTTCTTCTTGTACCGGAACCCTATGGACTGGTACCTCATGCACACCTCGGCGAGCCCTACCACGCCTCTCGCCGCTACCACCACGGACTTCACCCCTTCCTGACATACTAATAAAGGACACATGAGAAATAATTTAGCACATTAACTCATATGTGCTCGTAACTTGACTCGCACGTTCGACTACAATAAATCTATATATTTCTCTACCATATATACAATTCAATTTCAGTCCATATAAGCACTTAGTCATGTAAACACATACGGACTGTTCTTTTACGATGAAATCTGTCCCACGAAAAACCAAGAATTCTTAGTCGAACGAGTTTTGATCAAGTACCCTTCTAATGAGATCTCAAGGAATTTAACAGGTGCAAACAACATCCCAAAAGTCCAATCCTATACCCATTTAGTCACATAAGCATGTTATCACATAGTCACAAAATGCATAACACTTCCTAAGCATGCTAAATGAACTCATTATGGTTAAACAACCACTTCCCACGAGCTCCAAGTATTCAAACCTGGTTGCTCTGATTCCAAGTTGTAACGCCCCAAATTTCTAGCCCAAATGATAAGACAACAATCATGGCTCTTTCAAGGAAAACCAAATATAAATCTCCAAACTTACATTACATGATACAATAGTCCTTTATGAAACAATACATTGATCCAACAACAAGTAATAAACAAATAAATACCCCCAAGGGTTTACAAGTTTCCAAGGCTTGAACCTGGTTATACAAAATGGTTATTCAAACCCACACAAACACAGCTCTTGGCTTACACATATAGTCACAGCAAATGAGAGCATTGTACTCCCAACACACATACTTCCACGCCCCTAGTTGGGTGGGATCACCACATCTTTTTCTGTACAAAAATCCCGTAAGGTGAACATAAAGCCTAGTAGGAAATTCTTAACAAAGTATATACATTTTATACATGTCTCAAGAGATGAAATGCACACGTCATGCTATGCCCATTTTGAAGATAAATCACATTTTCATCTTTTGAAAACCATCATGCTCAATGATATCATACAATTTCAATTGTTCAAAACTTAACAATTTATTTCAAGGGCGGTAAATACGACTCTGGTAATCCCTAGGTCAGTGTCTGCAAGTAAACTATACAAGTACTACCAATTTGTCATTTTTACTGGTATTAACTGGAAGGCTCGACACCTATCCGCGCGGGTTTTCGGTCTTTCATCCCGGATTCTCAGGCCAACTTATTCAATATTATCTACACCACTTGTTAAGACTTACCAACGTATTTATCCCAAAACCATTCCATGAAAACTTGTTTCTCAACATTCTTTTATCAATGCAAGTTTTAAATCAACTTTCAAAGTTTAATATAATCAAATGAATTGATATGCCAATAACACAAGATGAATATAAATACTTTTATTCCAATTCATCATGCAAGGAATAACACAATTCCCTCTTCTTAAGTATCCTCAACAATTAGTCATTTCAAGACTATTTCAACGTTTTGAACAATAATTTCCAAAATGAACAATAATTCTCATATTCCTTGAAATTCATCATTTATATAAATATAAATAAGAAATTTTCCAAACATCCATTTATTTTGACACACAAAATAAATATAACAATATCATTCATGGATTTTCAGTCTCTTAAAAAAAAATCCCCAAATTTTAGGTTTTCTCACCAAACTATACAATTCAAATCTTTTGAAAGAAAACTTTCCAAAATCATCTTTTCTGCAATCAACGAAGATCAAAACCCATAAGATCATTTTAAAAGAACAAGAGACAAACCCGCTTTCAAAATCGCTCAACTTCTTGAATCAACAAATTATTTTCAAAGCTATCGAAAGATGATTTCGAAAATCATATAGATCTTGCAAAAACATATATATAACTTTAAGAAAATCCCTACCTCAAGTTTTGAAGAAGAAATGAGATGAAATCCCCAAAATCAACGATGTCGAAACTCGATCTTCACCGCACACAACGAAGCACTCGAGATGATAACCAACTTTGGTGAAGAACTTAGGTCTAAATCCCAATGGATTTGGAGAAATCAAAGAGAGAAGATGACTTCTAGAGAGAGAAGCTCCCGATCTAGAATTCTGGAGAGTTTTAAAGAGAGAGAGGACTGAAAAAGTGATTTGAAATATCAGATTCACGAACTGATATAACATGGTCCGTTCGAGCGTCAAATACACTAACCCAGTACTTTTGCAGATAGGTGAAACTTCTGAAACCAAACATTCTCCGCTTGAGCACATAAACAGCCGCTCGAGCAGACAAACGACTTCGAATGCATTTTGCATTTTTGCTTTGGGGGCGCCGCCCCCTGGACCCCCGCGAGCTGACTGGGCAGCTTGATCCCCGACCGGCTTAGTCGAAGTGGCAAAACATGAAAGAAGGATCGAAACCGGGATTGCTACATTACCCAAAACAAATCCAAATGATCTTGTTTCTCAAAAATAATTCCTTTCTCAAAACAATAGTTTTCAATTGCAATTCAAAATCCATGATAACAATGAAATGGAATGGTAATGCAATGTGTAACAATGCATTAAGATAATTCCAATTTCAATTCCACCACACAATGTTCCATTATGATCAAATTTCATATCTCTATCAATGTAATATCATGATACAATTTCAAGTAAAAATGTAATAATATCAATGTTCATGTGTGCACCATAAGTAAATCAACAACTTCTAACTTAGTCTTTTCAAGACAATTCAATAATATCATTTTCAAGACAAACTTCCAAAATCAAACATTTCTTTCCTTTCCAAGAATCTCCTCATTTAAATACCAACATGATAATCCTCTACCGGTTACCAAAAACCAAAACTTTTAAACAATAGTTTCATCAATATCAATAATATATAACACCAAAGCGGGTTCAAGGTTTCATAAATTTCTAACTCACATACTTTATCAATAAAATGAAATTATAATCTTTCCAAAACTCATCCCCTTCCCAAACATTAAATAGAGTCAAATTTCCATTTTTCTCATACAAGTAAAATCTCAGGATCTTCAAGTTCAACCATAATTCTTAAAAAGCATAAGTGAGTATTCCAACACTTAATTAATTATATCAAAATCTTCTCTTGACTATAAGTATAAAATATAACACGAGTGTTCACTTTCTAATTTTTAACATCCACCCCATCGAATTAAACCAAGAAAAAATAATAAATAAATAAAAGTTTTGATAACTCATCTTTTTGTTTTAATCCAATTCATCTATTTGCTCCAAATGAGCTAAAATCGCATTCTACTCTTTTCTTGTCAAAAACATCCAAACAATTCAAATATCTCATAAAAATTTTGAAATATGAAATTATTATTATAACATTACGCAACTAGTAAAACTAGGAACCCAATACCATACGACATCAACTTAATCTCGCTTATTTCTTCAAATCTCATACTTGGTCAACTTCGTCACTTTTAATCTCATAATATTTAAAGTTATGAATTAAAAACCCAATAACACCCCCCTTTAATTACAAAGGATTTAAAATATTAACCAAACTAATTTAATTTATCAAATTAATAAATTCACTATGTTCACCATCTTCCAAATTAATAACACCAACTTTACATTCTACACAATAGTCCTCAATATCAATTTATTTTTCTCAAAAATAAATTCCAAATCAAAGATAAAAAAAATATTTCAAATTTATATTTCTCAAAATAAATCATCTAATCATAATATGATGTAAATACAATCCATACATCTTTTCAATTTTTATTTTCGGATTTGTTTTTACAAAATTATCAACACAACATAATTTTCCCAAATCAATCTCAAAATACCAACATTCTTAACATTTCAACATAATTTTTCTCCCAAAAATTACCAAACAAAGGCTGAAAAATATATATATATATATATATATATATGCAATACCTCTTAAAATGACATATTTTCTCAAAATAACCCTAACATAGCTTTAATGTAATGATATGAAGAAAGTCCCTACCTCAAATAATGAAGAAGAGCAGTTCTAGAAGGCACATCTTCAATGAAGATAAGAATGAGAATGATGAAGATGAACAAATTAATGAAGACCATGAAGATTTGATGAATAATGAACCTAATGAATGCATGAATGAGATTACTGACGAAAACAAGAATGAGGCTAATCTTATTGAAGATTTTAATATAGACAATGGGACTTCAAACATTTATGAGCCAAGTAATTGAGACAAGATTGATTAGAATTTTCGAGATCTATTGGTAGAAAAAGGTCCCATAAGAGAAAATGATATTGAATTCCCTAAAGATAAATTTGGTAGGCATTTTTCTTCCACCCATTACATTCGACATGTATCAAATGGAGAAAAACATTACAGGAAATGTTTAGTACATTCAAATGTTGTGGACAAAGTGTATTGCTTTTGTTGTAAGTTGTTTAAGCAAATGGGAAACAAGACTCAATTGGTTACTAAAGGATTTAAAGATTGGAGAAATCTTGGGCAAAGGCTTAAATGTCATGAAACTAGCAATGAACACTTGGAATGCATGAGAAAATGGATTGAAGTAGAAATGAGATTGTAGAAAAATGCGACAATTGACCAAAGTGTGCAATAAAAATATCGATTAGAAAGAGAAAGAATGATAAACAAGTTTTACCAGGATAATCGCTTTGGTGAAAAGACTTGCTAAATGTAATTTAGCATTTCGTGGAGACAATGAGAAGATTTATCAAGAGAGAAATGGAAATTTTTTAGGTTTTATTAAAAATGATTGTTGAATTTGATCCAGTGATGCAAGAGCACATTTGACGTATTGAAAGAGATGAAATTCATTATCATTATCATTATCTTAGTCATAATATCCAAAATGAATTGATATTGATGTTAGCTGGTGAAGTGAAAAATACAATCATTAAAAGAATCAAAGAAGCAAAATATTTTTCAGTGATACTTGATTGCACTCCAAGTGTAAGTCATGAAGAACAAATGTCTTTTGTTATACGTTGTGTGGATATATCAACAAGTCCAGTAAAGGTAGATGAGTTTTTTTGTAGAATTTTTAAAGGTGGATGATACTTCTCGGTTGGGGCTTTTTAGTAAACTTAAAAAGGTATTGAATACACTCCAACTTGATATAATGGATATAAGAGGACAAGGGTATGACAATGGCTCTAATATGAAAGGTAAACATAAAGGTGTACAAAATAGAGTACTTGAAATAAATCCTAGAGCATTCTACACACTATATTACACTTTGTGATATGGCCAATTCTTGTTCTAAAGCTCACTATTTTTTTTGTAGTAGTACAACGTATATATGTATTATTTGCATCTTATACGAAGAGGTGGACAGTTTTGAAAGATAATGTGCATGGTCACACACTCAAGCCACTGTCATAAACTCGTTGGGAAAGTCGCATAGAAAGTGTTAAAGCAATAATATACCAAGCTCCAGAAATAAGAGATGTTTTACTTGACTTGGCAAAGATGTGTGAAGATCCCAAAACAACTAGGGAAGCTGAGTCTTTAGCAAGGTATAAAATAGGGAATTTTGAATTTTTGGTTGGCATGATTATTTGGCACAATTTATTATTTGTTGTTAATTTTGTTAGCAAGATCCTTCAAGTTGATAACAAGGCAAAGATGACATGCATATTGATATTGCCATAAATCAATTAAAAGGACTCATTACCTTTCTTGAAAGGTATAAAGAAAGTAGATTTGAGGAGGCCAAGATTGAAGCTAAAGAAGTTGCAAATGAAATGGAAATTAAACTAATTTTTCATGAAAAATGTGTCATTCACAAAAAATAAAATAAAATAAAATAATTTATGAGATTGTTAGTGAAGAGATGACACAGTCAACCGTGGAATCTTTTAGAGTGAATTACTTCATATACATAGTAGATCAAGCTCTTTTTTCACTCAAGATTAGATTTGAACAATTTCAAATTTGTGAGAAAATTTTTGGATTTTTGTTTGATGTGAAGAAGTTAAACCCTATCAATGATGAATGCTTGATGATTGATTGTGCCGAACTTGAAGATTTTCTGAACCATGATGACAAATCCGGTATTGATGGAAGGGATTTATTTTTAGAATTGAAGGTATTGAGATTTTTTAACTGGAGAAATCAAAAAGCCAATTGATGTGGTGAATTATTTGAAACTATTAGATGGTTGTTTCCCAAATACATTGATTCTGTATCGAATATTGCTAACTATACGAGTTACAGTTGCTTCCGGAGAAAGAGGTTTTTCAAAATTAAAGTTGATTAAATCTTATATTCGATCAACTATGTCGCAAAAAAGATTGAATGGATTAGCAATTTTATCTATTGAAAAAGATTTAGTTGATAATTTGGAACATGAAAGGTTGATCAATAATTTTGCAGCTAAAAATGCAATAAGGGTGATGTTCAAGTGATATTTTATTACTTTTTGTTCACTTTTTTGGTATGCTAACTTATATTTTGGTCCTTTTTGTTTCCGTAAACTTTGTTATATATTTAAGCAAAATTTAGTATTTTTTTTTTTAAATATGTATGAAAATGTATTGAATTTTAGTATTTTTTTGTATTCAATAAATTTTTGAAAGATTTGTGCACAACTTTCATACTTTTTAGAAGGGGAAAATTAATATTAGGGAAACATCCCTCTTTAACTTTGGGTAATAGAAGAGGTCCAATATGTTTTTTTTAGTAGTTTAGGTCACTCGATGAAATTTATCTATGATCATACTAGAGAAATTTTTGAAATTTCTCTATGTCGAATTTTTTTTTGTAAAAATATTGACAGATCCCAACCACTATGAAAATATTGTATATTTTTTATTTTATAAAATCTTAATATCAGAGAACTTTTAAAAAAAAAATCTCGTTTTAAAAGTATCTAGATTAAATAAATCTAAATTTTTTTTTTAAAAAAAAAAATACAAACTGAAAATTTATATAAAACTATTTTTAAAAATTCCAAATTAAACGGTTAATTAGAAAAGCAACTAGATTAGATTATAACAAAAAGTACGGTATTCAATTCCTCTAACATCCTCATATCAAATATTCGAAGGCAAATGACAAATCAAGTAAATTGATTCATTCATACACTCGATAGATTATTAGAAAGCTACCATTAAATTAGCACAACCGGCCATTCGACACATTTTTCATAAGAAACCTTTCCCCAAAACCTAGGTATGACCACCTAAACTATGGTCAAATTAAGTCATTGGTTAATTACAAGATCTTATATTTGATTTCAAGACAATTTAAACCAAGACAAACTCATATAGTTCAACAGTTGGAAACGGTTTTCCAAGCCCAAAGTTTTGGACAAACATAGTGGCCTTTCGCAGCACCTAAATTACGAAGTGTGATTGTATTTATCATGATTTAGAGTTGTTTCTTGTCTATATGAACAGAGATAATTCAACTATTTGGCTATTTAATCCATCGTCTGAGGGTTCTAATTTTTTTTTTTTTTTAATTCTTATTATTGAAAGTCTCAATTTTTTCAAAGACTTTATAAGATAAAATCTCATTTTAATATTTAGTCTAAGAACTCACAAAACCTTAAGCTGCTATTGTATATAAATTATTCGAATGAATCAATAAGACATTTGAATCTACAGACGTAGGCATATGTACTAAACCATGTAAACGTGTTCTTTCATTTCTCAATCAATTTCTTGTTTATTTCATTTTCTTTACAAAACATAATTTGCTAAAGAAGCAAAGTATTTGAGGTCATAACTCCACTCTACCCTACCTTAGCAAAGACACCCTTCCATTTGGAGGCTTTAATTTGGACTGGAGACTGATTTTGGACCACCTAAATATGTCCATTTGGAGGCCCATTGTAACTTTTTATTCTTATTTTGTATAGGACAATGGACATCTTTTTATATCTTCTCAAAATGAAGGCAATTACCAAAAGCAATTTTGGTGGAGAGAGAGAGAGGGAGTTGGACTTGCTGAATATGTGATAGAACCTTCTTATTAATCACTAAGAGTGAATCTTAAGGGATTGGTTTAATGGGCACAATTAGTTTGCTCTCATCAAGTCTCAAGTTTAATACTCACTAATTGCAATAAATTTCTTAAGGTCAGTAGGACATAAATTGATCCGCATACCCAATTATTAATAATAAAAAAAATATCACCAAGAGTGAAGAAATTTATGACCTTAGACTTAGATCTTCATTTTATAGCCACACACACACAAAAAAAAAAAATCATTTTGTAGCCACACACAGAAAAAAAAAAGCCTTTATGATTTTGATTTTGATTTTGATTTGTCATTAGAAGCGTGACTAAAAAAAATCATACTATCTATTAGTCCACAATTGCCAACCATATTTCTAAGGTGAGTAATGTTGCTCAAAATTTAGAATGAAAACAACTAATTTGGTCGGCCATCATTAATCATTTTGTAGGGTTCACAAAATTAAGATCAATCATAACTTATTATGTGGATGAGAAAAATTATATAATGGTTTCGGAGTATCGCGTAATTATACTTTCTTATCAATCTCCATTTATTTTGATTTATCATATTCTTCAATCACTTCACATAAATAATCAAACACTCCATTTTCTCCACTAATCATACTATCATTGAGTATCATGTGACCATGCTTCCGAATTAGCAAATAATGTGGGAGCTTGTGGTCGGCTCATTAATCTTTTTATATAGCTCACAAAACCAAGACTAGAAATAACTGATCATGTGTTTCGTTTTTAGCATAATTTCTCACAGCATAATTTCTTACAAGCAGGCCCGATTTTGGGGTAAGCCCACAAAGTAGCCGCTTTGAGGCCTCAAAAAAACGCTGAAAATAGGGTCCCAAAAAATGTATAGTCTAATACTTGTCTATTAAAAACAGGCCCAACTAAAAATTATAATTCAAAATTGCGAATAAATAAAAGACTCAATCTAAACTAAATAAATAGATGGCCCAATCTATAATATAAATTCATAAAAAAACAAGGGTTTTTTACTAGCTGGTCCCAATAATTGAATCTATTACCCATTAAGTCCTAAGTTT